ATCGAGCAGTGTTTTGTTCTGCTGTGCATGGGGTCGCTATGAGTCGGAAACGACTCGACGGCACTTAACAACAACAACAACATATGTTGTCTGATGTCCTGACTGCTGCTACCATTGGCGTAAATTGTAGAACCAAGCAATGTGAAGCCTTTGACAATTTCAATCTTTTCGCCATTTATCGTAATGTTGCTTACAGGACCAGTTGCGAGGATTTTTGTTTTCTTTATATTGAGATGTAATCCAAACTGCAGACTGTATTCTTCAATCTTCAACAGTAAGTACTTCAAGTCATCCTCACTTTCAGCAAGCAAAGTTGTGTCGGCAGCGTATCACAGGTTGTTAATGATTCTTCCTCCAATCTTGATGCCACATTCTTCTTCATATAGACCAGCTTCTCAGATTATTTTCTCAGCATACAGATTGAATAAGTATGGTGAAAGGATACAACCCTTAACAAGAGCCCCTGGTTTATTTGTGTATACAATAAAGTTTGAGAAGCACTGGTCTAGGATATCCTCTCTCAGTTGTCTGGTGGTTGGAAGATTGCTTGGTCTGGAGCTGGAGTGAGGTTGAGGCTCAGCTGGGCTGGCTTCTTCTCTAATCCATGAGGTCTTTCATCCTCCAGAAAGCTAGCCCAGGCTTCTTCACATGGTGATCTCAGGGTCTCAAAGAGCAGTAGAGTAGAAATGTTTTTTAAGCCACTGCTTGGGTTATATTTGCTACTGTTCCATTGACCAAGGCCAGTGACAAGGCCACCTCAGAGTCCATGTAGGAAGGCTTTGCAAAAGGGTGTGGATATTAAAAATAAAACAAAAACCCGTTGCCATGGAATTGATTCTGACTCATAGCCATCCTATAGGACAGAGTAGAACTGCTCCCGTAGGGTTTCCAAGTCTGTACTCTTTATGGAAGCAGACTGCTGCATCTTTCTCCTGAGGAACTGCTGGGAATTCAAAGTGCTGACCTTTTGGTTAGCAGCTAAGCACTTAACCACTGCACCACCATGGAGAGAGGAGGGGAATAATTTGTGGTTATTTAAAAAATTCACCACACTGTCCACTACTGGCATTTGGAAAGAATCACCAAGAGGACCTTTAGCATTCCATCCAGCCATATCCCTTTGCTGAGACAGTGAGCACAGAGCCATCTACCAGCTTAAAATGGAAGAGGGAAAAACGAAGACATGGGGAAGATGAAAGTTATAGGTTAGTATCAGAAAATAATACCCTTGCCACAAACAGCATGTGGGTACAGAGGTAAGTGTTTCTGTGGGTCTGGTAGCAGAAAACTGAGAGACTGGCTAAAATGGTTTTATTTTCTCTATGAATAGGAGCACTGGTGGCATAGTGCCTAAGGCATTTGACTGATACCCAGAAGGCTGGCAGTTCAAACCCACCAGCCACTCCTCAGAAGGAAGATTGGACGATCTACTTCTGTAGAGATACCACCTCAGAAACCCAAGGAGGGGTCGCTATGAGTCAGAATCGACTTGACGGCAGTGAGTTTTTTTTTTTTATTTTATTTTTGTTATGAAATAGGAGGTAAGGTCATCTGTTAACAATGGCAAAGGGTGGTGGGTGTCAGAGGTCTGAGGAGAGTAGAGAATGTTTGAAATAGTCATAACGGAACTTGAGACTGTGAATTGACATAAAAGTATAAGATTTCAGGGACCATTTGAGGTTGATGACTATGAATTTATCTTGATGCCAATCCTTCCTCTGGGGAAGCCTTTTGCAATAGTGCTTCCAAGTACACACACACAAAAAGCCAAATGTTACATTTTAGGGATTTTGCTACCTGAGTAATGAAAAGACAAAGTCCAAGGAGTTTAGGTTATTGGTAGGAATGTCATTAAAAGAATGACCCATGGTCTCTTAGCCCAATAGGAAAAATTGAGAAGAAAGTGGGGGTAGTGGTTGACAAGGTTGGAGAATAGGAAGGATTCAAACAAGTAGCTGAAAAGAAAGGGTATTGTGGACAGACAGCAGGATGCTTGAGCCAGTGATTGTAGAGCTAGAGTAGTTTCTATGACAAAAAAGGAAAAGATTTTTGGAGATGGTCTTACTTTTCCAATTTGAACAGCCTTCTCCCTAATGAAGATGAGTAGATTTGCTTTCTATCTTCGTTAACTTTACAACACCTTCCTCAAGGGAGTGAGAGGAACCTCTCCTTTCTTTATCATCCTGCTGAAATTAAGCAAAACGTATTCCTCTTGGTTATCTTTTGGATTTCAGTAACTCTACATTTCATTCCATTTTACATAAGATTGTCATGAGTCAGAGTTGACTTAATGGCAACTAACAACAACAACATAGCTTAATTTGCTTCTCCGGTTTCATCCCTTTCTCTCTCCCTCCCCTCCCCCTCCCTCTCCATATATATTTTCATCTATCCTTGGGTACACATTCCCCTTATGGTTCCTGAGAAAGTTCACCATCTTGTCAATTTGATTCTGTAAATGTCTTCTGCTCTTACAAATCAGAGTAGGCCAGGTTATGCTGTGGTAGTAATGATCCCTCAATCTTACAATGCCAGGAGATAGGTAAACCAAAAACCAAACTCACTGTGGACAAGCGGGATGCGACTCATAGTGACCCCTCCTTGGGTTTCTGAGGCAGTATCACTACAGAAGTAGACTGCCCAATCTTCCTTCCAAGGAGTGGCTGGTGGGTTTGAACCGCCAGTCTTCTGGTTAGCAGTCAAATACCTTAGGCACTCCACTACCAGACCTCCTCGGGAGATAAGTACCAAACCAAACCAAACTCACTGCCGCCTAGTTGAATCCCACTCACAGCGGCCCTTCCGAGGCAATGTCACTACCGAAGTAGATTGTCCAACTCCGAGGAGTGGCTGGTGGGTTTGAACCACCAGCCTTCTGGTTAGCAGTCAAATGCCTTAGGCACTATGCCACCAGCGCTCTTAGGAGAGAGGTAGGCACTACAAATTATTCTTATGTATAATAATGAGTAAACTGAGCCTCAGAAATGTCTGTAAAATGTTCAGGGCCCTCAGCTGGCCAACCCTATGGAACGCAACACTCACAATTTCACAAAGCCTTGACTTCAACAATTAAATGCACTGAGTGAATGAAGTAGTACCTCCACCTCCCCTGGGTAACCATTTAATGTGCAGTCCTTTATCTTCATGTTAGCTGAGAAGTTTAACCCTCAGAATTCGGTAACACACCGTCCGGGTCTGGTAGAGAGGCTGAATGGAGATAGTAGACCAGGAATCCCGCCCCAAATAGTGGCTATCTGCCTAGGACAGAGATGGCCAGGGAGGAGACACAAAACAGGAGAAGCAGTGGAGCTCTCCGGGTGGGGTCCACGTCGCGTCACTGGGTACATTCTGTACAAACGAGCCCCGCCCTCGCCTGAATTAAATTCATGAAGACTTGATTACCGAGGGGATGGGGAAAGGTGGGGTCTGGCTGCAAGAGCGCGAGCTGGTGTTCCCACCCGGCGGCCGCCCCGCCCGAATCTGGCAGAGCCTGGTGGTGAATCTGGGCGGATAGAGGCGGGGAGAAGTTGCACAGTTGAGGGCGGGGCGGCTGCCAAGCAGGCCAATAGGCGGCAGTCCAGGCCGGCGGAACGGAGAGGGCAGGGGCGCTGCAACTGGCTCGCCACCTCCTAAGTTTCCCTTGTGGATGCACGACACCGGCGGTTCCGCTCCTCTGGGCACACAGGAGCCCTAAAAGACCGGAGGAGAAGCCACGGGACGGATTTCTGAGACAGGGGAGAGGACGCGTGCCCGACCCGCTGGTGGGGGCTCAGTGGATGATGAAGGGCCGGCGGCGGCGTCGCCGAGAGTACTGCAAGTTCGCGTTGCTGCTGGTGCTCTACACTATGGTGCTGCTGCTTGCCCCTTCTGTGCTGGACGGCGGCCGCGATAGGGACAAAGGCGCTGGGCACTGCACAGGCCTGCAGGGCAGCCTGGGAGTGTGGAGCCTGGAGGCAGCGGCAGCTGGCGAACGCGAGCAGAGCTCGGAGGCGGGGCCCGCCGATGAAGGGGGCGCGGGTGAGTCCCCCCTGTTCCCAGGCAACCTCAGCCGCGCCGTCGGGGAGGCGGTGTCCCGCGAGAAGCAGCACATCTACGTGCATGCCACCTGGCGCACCGGCTCCTCTTTCCTGGGCGAACTCTTTAACCAGCACCCGGACGTTTTCTATTTGTACGAGCCCATGTGGCACCTATGGCAGGCACTGTATCCTGGGGACGCGGAGAGCCTACAGGGCGCGCTGCGCGACATGCTACGCTCTCTCTTCCGTTGCGACTTCTCCGTGTTGCGGCTGTACGCGCCGCCAGGGGACCCTGCCGCACGTGCCCCAGGCGCAGCCAACCTCACCACGGCCGCCCTGTTTCGTTGGCGGACCAACAAGGTCATCTGTTCGCCCCCTCTGTGCCCGGGTGCACCTCGAGCTCGCGCCGAAGTCGGCCTCATCGAGGACACTGCCTGCGAGCGCAGCTGCCCACCCGTCGCGCTGCGCGCCCTTGAGGCCGAGTGCCGTAAGTACCCCGTTGTGGTCATCAAGGACGTGCGCCTCCTGGACCTGGGTGTGCTAGTGCCACTGCTGCGTGACCCAGGACTAAACCTCAAGGTGGTGCAGCTTTTCCGCGACCCGCGGGCAGTACACAATTCTCGCCTCAAATCTAGGCAAGGGTTGCTGCGCGAGAGCATCCAAGTGCTGCGCACTCGCCAGAGGGGCGACCGCTTCCACCGCGTGCTGCTGGCGCATGGCGTGGGCGCTCGCCCCGGGGGCTCCTCCCGTGCACAACCCGCTGCACCACGCGCAGATTTCTTCCTGACTGGGGCACTCGAGGTGATCTGTGAAGCATGGCTGCGTGATCTGCTTTTCGCGCGCGGCGCGCCCTCCTGGCTGCGGCGCCGCTACTTGAAGCTGCGCTACGAGGACCTGGTGCGACAGCCGCGCACCCAGTTGCGCCGTTTGCTGCACTTTGCTGGGCTGCGCGCGCTCACCGCACTCGACGCCTTCGCACTCAACATGACTCGCGGTGCGGCCTATGGCGCAGATCGGCCCTTTCACCTGTCAGCGCGCGACGCTCGCGAAGCAGTGCATGCCTGGAGGGAGCGACTGAGCAGAGAGCAGGTGCGCCAGGTGGAGGCCGCCTGCGCCCCAGCCATGCGTCTGCTGGCCTACCCTCGTAGTGGTGAGGAGGGCGAAGCGGAGCTGCCCGAGGATGTGGAGATGTCACTGGAGATGGAGGATCAGAGCGCCACGTAGCCCCCACTCTCATCCCCAGGGAAGATCCGGGTAAGGTGGTCCTTAGCAGGGCAAAGAATGGTCTTTGGGGAGCCTGGAATGGCCTGCGTGGGGAAGGGGTGGGTTGAGGAAAGGGAGGAGCTGGTGTTCCAGATCTCAACCTGTCTGAGGGTGGGGAAACCCTTCTCTTAAAAAAAGCTTGGAAATTTCATTGGAATCCCTGGCTTAGCCACCTGCTTCCTCAGAGGAGGACCCTGAGATGAGAAAGGTTGTCCAAATGTGGCTGAGGTGCAACCCATGTCTCTACACTCCCAGTCCAGTGACCTTCCTGCTCCATGAAGTAGGAGGTAAGGCAGTCTGTTAGGAATTGTTGTTGTTATGTGCCCTCGAGTCAGACCTGACTCATAGCAACCCCTCCTTGGGTTTCCAAGGCAGTTATCACTATGGAAGTAGAATGCCCAACCTTCCTTCAGAGGAGTGGCTGGTGGGTTTGAACCGCCAGCCTTCTGGTTAGCAGTCAAGTGCCTTAGGCACTATGCTACCAGAGCTCCTACGAATGACAGGGCGCAAAAGAGAAGTGGTAGTGGTCTGAGAAGCTAAAACAGAGGTAGAGAAGGTTTGAAATAGTCAAATCTTGAGACTGTGAATTGACATGAAAAAGATTTCAGGGACCATTTGAGATTGATGATTATGAACTTATCTTGATGCCAGTCTTTCCTGTTGGGAAAACTTCTTGGAATAGTACTTGCAGGCACAGAGAAAGCCAAGAGCAGGGTATGGTGAAAAGTAATGACTTCAACCCTACCTACTCCTCTTTCTGTGCCATATTCCTTCTCTTTCTCTGTCTCTGTCATGCACAGTCACCTTGACTTTCCTCCTGATCAGCAAGCATGCAGGCCATTCTTGCAATTGTTTTAGCACATTAGTATGTCTGAGGCACTGGTAGAGTGGAGTAGAATAGCCTTTGCTTTCTCCTGGCTTATGTGGGCTCTCTCTCCCCATCCCCTTCCTCCTTCCCCCTTCCTTCTTCCTCCCCCTTATGTCTCCCTCCCGTCCTAGTGGTCAGTGTCTTTGCAGGATATTTGACCCTGTCCCCTTCACATCAGGTCACAAAAGCTGCCTGGCCTGCTTCCTCTAATTCTGACGGAATCTCAGGGCTGGATTTCCCCCATTCAGCCCCACTGAGAGATGGAACCTTAGATTGGCAGTAGTGGCTTTGCCTGTGACAGCAGAAGGAGCTTTGTGAAACAAGCTCTCTTATATCTTTTCTTTCGCTCTTTGTAAAGCTTCTATCTTAAGAAGCTAAAACAGAGATTAAGTGATCTAAACAGTGGAGCTTAAATAGTCTCAAATGGTGTTTGGGCCAGTATACGGATTGCACATTAGGTGAAAGGAAGAGTTTATTCTGCAAAATGCTGACCTTATGAGTCCAGTTAGTGACATGGGAATGCATTTCTCCAAACTTGGTGTGAGTTGGAAGAGGACAGTCCAGAGGGGGAGGAAAAGCAGGGTGGGGTGGATGGAAGTGACTTCAGTTTCCATTCATTATTTTGTAGTGTAATTCAGCATTCCCCTGGGATGAAGCTTTGAAGACAAAGGTTGACGATATTAATAAAGATGGATTTTGTCATTAATACAGCCAGGGTTTCAGAATGATTTTGGAAGCTGGGTAACACTGATTTTTCTCCCTAGTAATCAAGTAGTGTTCCTGGTCAGTTTCTGTAATTGCTAGGAACTCTGTGTTCTTTCCTGATTTTTGGAGTGAAAGATGGTAAGACAGAAAACATCTTTTCATCTGCTAATCCTGATGATGTAATGGATGTAACAGAATGGTCCCTAACCCTCATGACAAGCCTGAGGGAACTCCTCTTCAGGGCAAATGCTGCAACATTTTATGGCTTTAAGATCGTGACATTCTCCCAAAATCTTTTACTTTTTTTTTTTAATTAGCTAACATTTATTGAGTACCTATACCTTGTGAGGTGCTGGCTGGGGATGAGGTAATGAGAAAAGAGAAGGGGTTTAGAAGACATGGTCCTCTAGGAAGTTAGAATCTATGGGTGATATTGACTGTGGGAGAAGACACTGCTGCTGCTGTTTAAAAGGTCAATGGGGCTTCCTTTAGGAGACTGCAGGAACATCTGGAGGCAAACTTTAGGCTCTTCCATATTTGGGTGACTGAGCCCTTCTTCACACATCTCCTCTGGAATTATTGGGCACTTAACCATGCTACTACGAATCAGTGGATTTATTAAAATCTAATTGGAATCACGGGAGCTCTGGTAGCATAGTGGCTAAGGCACTTAACTGCTAACCAGAAGGCTGGCGGTTCAAACCC